CTTCTGTGTTCTTATACTCCTGCCCTCTAGGTATAAAGGTCAGAATTCCATTAGCTTTCTTGATTATTTTCTGCAACTGCTCATGACGGTTTTAAGATCTATTCACCAGAATTGCCAAGTCTTTTTGTAATCCATATTTAACTTCATACCATTGAGAAAGTACTCTTGGTTCAGACAAAATACAAACAAAAGACCAGATTTCCAAAGTTGAGGTGAGAGTGACTGCCCTTAACATCAAGACCTCATCTGACTGAATGTGTCATTGAGGAGCTCTAGCAAAACTAGAATCAATTAGAATCGGGGGAAAGCTCTCTACTGTTTGTTGTTATACCTGCCACATAGGAAGATGGTCGTGGTTGTTGAAGGCCAGTCATCTCAGTTCCAGGGCATCTCTGCAGGAGTTCTTCAGGGTAGTGTCTTAGGTCCATCTTCAATGGCCTTCAATGACCTTCCCTCCATCATAAGGTCAGAAGTGGGGATGTTTGTCAATGATTGCATAACATTCAGCACCATTCATGACACTGCAGATACTGAAGCAGTCCATTTCTAAATGCAGCAAGATTTGGACTACTTCCAGGCTTGGGCTAAAAAGTGGCAAGTAACATTTGCACCACACAAATGCCAGTTAACGACCTTCTTCAACTACATAAAATCTAACTATAGTCCCTTGACTTTCAATAACATTACGTCAGTGTTCTGTCTAAGCTGCATTCCTATGATCTGTGCATGGTGATTGGTATGTTGAGACCATTCACTTCATTGACTTCAAGTTCCAAAGTTTCTGCTGTACATGGCCCTTGGAGGTCCACACAGAAGAAGAATAAATTAGTGGAAACACTGGTTACCATCACTGAATCCCCCACTATCAACATCCTGGAGGTTACCATTGATGAGAAACTCAACTGGACTAGTCATATAAATACAGTGGTTACAAAAGTGGGTCAAAGGCTAGGAAACCTGCTGCGAGTAAGTCATCACCTGACTCCCCAAAGCATGTCCACCATCTACTAGGCACATCAGGATTCTGATGGAACACACGCCAATTAAGAAGCTTGACACCATCCAGGACAAAGCTACCTGTTTGATTGGTGCCACATCTACAAATAGTCACTTCCTCCACCACCGATGCTCAGAAACAGCAGTGTGTACCAACTACAAACTGTTCTACTGAAATTCACCAAATGTCCTTGGACAGCACCTTCCAAACCCACAAACACTTCCTCTAGAAAGACAAGGGCAGCACATACATGGAAACACCATCGCCTGCAAGATCCCCCCCAAGACAAACACCATCCTGACTTGAAAATATATCACCATTCCATAGTCACTGGGTCAAAATTCTGGAACTCCTTCCTGGCATTGTGGGTCGACCTACAGCATAAAAAACCGCAGCAGTTCAGGAATGCAGCTCACCACCATCTTCTCAAGAGCGACTAGCGGAGGGCAATAAATGCTGGACCAGCCAGCAACACTCACAGCCCTTGAACAAATAAAAACAAATTTTGGAGAGCTGCCTTCTCAAACCACTGTGGTCTGTGTGGTGCAGGTACATCGCAGTGTTGTTAGAGAGAACATTTCAGAGTTTTGGTTCAGTGACTATGAAGAACTGGTAAAATATTTTCAGATTAGAATGGTGCGTGGCTAGGAGGGGTTACAGGTTATGGTGTTCCCATGCAGCTCGATACTGTGCCTGCTGATCAGAATAGAAAGATAGTGCAATGGTGGAAGCTAACTTGAAGACAGCCACAGGAGGCATAGGAGGGAGAATTGATAAAGGATTGCTATCCTGAACAATTGAGGCAGGAAAACATAGGTGCTGGCAAATCTTATCTTGGCAGCCCTGATCAGGTCATCTCATTTTTTCTTGCACTGCAATTAAGCTCCATGAACAATGCTGATGTCATCGACATGATTTGCCACCACTTTCTTGACATCTGTTGCCCACCTAAAAGGGAGAAGACGTCATTTCTATTGACAAATTGATCAATCAGCCCTTTCACCATTACAAGAAAAGCCTTCAAGCTAATGGTCAGAGTCAACTTGCTTGCTTTTTATAATCTTGCTGTCCGCTACCCACCACCATAACAGTCAGCTTCCTTTAAAGATTGGTGGGACACCTTTACTCAACAGGCAATTGCCAGGCTTTTTACATTCCAAATCCGTAAGCTAAAGATGGGGCATTTGCACTTATCCCCACTCACTGGTCATTTGATTTACACTGGAGATGGTAATTCCTCTATCAAACCCATCAGTTGCCTGTCACGTTCTGGTCAGAGTTGAAATGGATGTATTCCATGAGTGTACATATCCTTTGGAAGTTTAAAGACGATGATGCGTGTGAGGTAATTATCCATATGACATAACCTTGTCAGTGAGGACCAGATGGGATAGTACAAGTGCTACATTCTAAAACTGTCGCTGTGGCTGTTGTGCCACACTCAGAATGAAGGAGACATTTAACCTTTGCCAATCTCTCAACCCAATAGATGTTTTAAAAGAGACTTTCAAAATAACTTTGATAAATGTGCTGTAATTTATGTTAACCCAGTGGCAATTTGAATCCATCCGGTAAATGTGTTGAGTAGAAGTGCATTCTAGAGGATTTCAATGTGACAGGAAGGAAATGTGTTCCATAGATCATATCAGGATCTGCACCAAGCATGAATAGAACTGGTTAAAGCAAAACATTTCAATGTTCCACCATTTTTAAAATTTGAGAAGCCTAGGTTGATTAAGATTATTTAACTCAGACCCTTTCAGAATTCACGTATGATTATTACATCACAAAATTCAACTCACCCTCCATCTGACTACATTACAATCACCCACTGATGCTCTATTTTAAGAAACATCAATTGTTTCTCTGATTTGCCTTGAAACAAAACTAAGCAATCCTATTAACATCTCTGTAACCTTCTACTCCCCTTCTCAACAAATATCAATTCATTTCCATTTAAAGGTTGCAGTTGAATCTGCATCAATCATATTCTTTAAAAATTAGATTTTCATATTAATTTCTGAAGATGAATAAACGAGAATTTCATTTGTGTAATGTTTTCATGATCACTGGACATTTCAAAGTGCGTTACAGCCAAATAAGTACTTTTGAAGAGTAGTCACTGGGGAAATGTATTAAACACTAAGCAGCGTTACATGTTGAATTTCACATATAGATATGTGTGAATACTGAGCGTTGATTCATTGAAAATGGCTCATAAAATAGCCTAATCTTGGTTTTTCACTCTTCTTGTGGGCAAGTGCTTGCACTCCCTTGATTACTGCTACTATAACCTGTTTAAATCCAACGTTCATCATATATCAAATCACAGATCCCCAGTCGTGTAGAATTTCTAAGAGTTGCCCTCAAATAAAATGGCAGTTAGGACTACAGCCCTAAAAAAATCTTAGGCAGAAATACAGCAATTTACAATTGTCACGTACTTAGCATGTAACAAAACAGTCCAAGGCATTTTGGAAAGGAACCAGTTGACTGAATTTTAGCAAAAATCAACAAAGTGCCAATTTTAAGAAGCTTTCTGGAGGATTTCTCTCTGTGAGTTCACGTCAGTTATCATGTGCAATTCTCGGCTGCTCACCTGAGTCAGTATGCATCACTCCTCCATGTGCTGCTGTCATGCTATCTTGTGTCCAGCTGCTGTGAAAATGCCCACTGGTTCTGGGATTTTTCAGTGTTCATCCCACAGGTGTGCACGATATCAAATGCTGGCAGCCTGGTCAGAACCAGCCACTCGGGTCAGTGTGCCATCTACCGTCTAGGGGAATGTGCAGCAATGCCACAGGAAAGTTCATGGCCTTCTGTGTTCTGCAAGGATAAATGCCACAATCGTCTCTCTGCTACCTTACACTCACTAACACTGGCATTGCACCTACATCTTACCAAGGTTCATGATCTACAACTCTCACTATTGCATGCAGCATCTTCTGTCAATAGCTCTCACCCAACTCACTCCCCAAAACTACTAACCCTTCCTGCCCTCTGCACTGCCTACTCACTCACCCAGGGCACCTCACCAACTTTCCTGGTTGACAAAGTACCAGCACCAGCACCATGGCAGATCATAGTCTTTGACTATTCATTGCTGCCAAACATGGCAAGCTGCCTGGGCTACCTGTCTGTGGTAAAAGGCAAAGCAGAGATGCTGTCAGCATTCAAAACCAGAGATGCACCCTAAGAAAGGTGCTGGTGGGTTCCAAAGTGCAGTATTCAAGTGCTAAACTCCGTTAAAAGTGACTCCAAATATGTCCCAATGATGTGGTACTTCTGGTGTTTTGCCAATGCCAACCTTTGTGAATTACCCCTGCTGCATGCCCTGAACTGCCCTGGGAATTTTGACCAATTTGGATATCTGGATGGAAACCAGTGAGTTGCAGCTGGCAGATATTCCCAACACAGGCTTTCACGTTAGGAATTGATGACGTCTAGACTCTCTACACTGCCTGAGGTTAAATTATGTAATAGTGAGATGTTTAAGTATGCAATAGACTTTCATTCTTTGTGAGTAATATTCTCGTCTCGTCATTAAAACATTGGGTGGAAAATTGGACTTTTTCTTCTCGATATCAAGAACCTAACTTTTTCACACCTGCCAGATAATACCAACTAATTTACCACTGCCCAGAGATAGTAAGAACTGCAAATGCTGGAGTCAGAGACAACACAGTGTGGAGCTGGAGGAACACAGTAGGCCAGTCAGGCCCATATCTGAAGAAGAGTTCCGACCCGAAATGTCAACTTTCCTCTGATGCTGCCTGACCTGCTATGTTCCTCCAGCTCCACACTGTGTTACCACGGCCCACGTTGTTCAGGGTCTGAGAAGATACCGCTGACTGAGAAGGTCAGAAGTTAGAATGGCATATCACATTTTCTTGATGTACAACTTGAGTACAGCCAAAATTCTTAAGACGCATTTTTATAATTAGTTCAATTCACTTTCTTACAATTTAGATTTTTTTGTGTGACAACTTGCTCTTCTCCTCAGAGATGGATTGATTTCCCCTACGTCTCCTGACAGCAAGTCGCTTGTTCGAGCCTTCAGCAGCCCCACGACGGCCTTTATCATGGACGAGCGAGTCCAGCTGACAACAGGATTACAGACACAGGAGCGGCACCTCTTCCTCTTTAGCGATGTCTTGGTGATTACAAAATCAAAGTAAGCATTTCATGCGTGCTATTTCGAACTGACACCATCCCAAATTGCATGTTTTGCTTGAAATAAGTTGCTGTACAGTTATTATTTGTTGAACTTTCTACCATATGGTAAATTTTGATGGGCTTTTCATTTGAATTCAGTCTTTATTACATGGCTATCTCAAGGTGATCTATCGTTGATGAACATATAGTTAATGGGATGTAAGCTCTAGAATGACTAGCATATATTTCCTATTTCTTACTAACCTTAAGACTATGGGAATGTCAAATGTAAAAGGAGGAGGAGGACATTTGTCCCCTTAAATCAGTCCCAACAACATCATAGCTGATCTATCCCAAGCCTCAATTCCTCTTTCATGTCAGCTCCGTATAGCCCTCAACTCCCTGATATTTCAAAAATCTATCAACCTCCTCTTTAAATACTTTCAGTGATCTTTCACATCTCTCTGGGATAGAAAATTCTAGACATTTGCTACCCTCTGGGAGAAGAAACACCTTTGCATTTCATTTTAAATACTTGTCCCCATATTCTGTAACTGTGTCCCCTAGTTTGAGATTCCTCATTAATGGAAACATTTTTTCAATATTTACCTTGTCAAGCCCCCGCAGAATTTTGTATGTTTCTATATGAACACCCCTCATTCTTGTAAACTGTAAAGAATAGGGCCTAATCTATTTAGTCATTCTTGATAAGTCAACCCCTTCATCCAGCCACCAATGCCTCCTCCACTATCTCTGCTGCCACTTCTTTTTAAACTCTGGCAACAGCCATCGGGTCCTGGTGAGTGTCTACCTTTAGTCCCATTAGTTTGACAAAATCTTTGGTCTTCATAATAGAGACTATTGCAAGATCTTTCCCTGGCTGAAGATATTCCTTCTTATCTCAGTTCTAAAGTGTTGTCCCTTCAGTCTGAGACTGTGCCCTTAGCCCTATTCTCTCCTACTAGTGAAAATATCTTCTCCATGTCCACTCTAATAAAGCCCTCAGTATTTTGTAAGTTTCAATGAGACACCCCTCATCCTTTGAAACACCATCAACTACAGACCCAGAGTCCTCAAACGCTCCTCATATGATAAGCCCTTCATCCCCGGGATCAGTCTTATAAATCTCCTTTGAACCCCATCCAAAACCATCACATCCTTACTTAGATACAGGGCCCAAAAATGCTCACAATATTCCAAACACACTCTGATGAGAGCCCTATACAGCCTCAACAGTACACCTCTGCTCTTGTATTAGATGATATGGAGGTGCCGCTGTTAGACTGGGATGGACAAGGTCAGAAATCACATGATACCTAGTTACAGTCTAACAAGTTTATTTGAAAACACAGGCTTTCGGAGCCCCGCTCCTTCTTCAGGTATTAGTGAGAGCGGTAGTATCGGACACAGAATTTATAATTAAAAGATCAAAGGTTCACATCACTGATGAGGATGTATTAAACAAACCTAAGGTGCTGTTAAATCTTTAATCAGTGGGGAAGTTTTAATTGATTAATACATATATATAAATTCCCGAATTTTCAACATCACCTGCCCATCCCCTATCTTTGTGTCATCTGCAAATTTCGCAACAGTGCCTCAGTTCCTTCATCCAGATTGTTAATGTATAATGTAAATAGTTGTCCCAACATTGCCCGCTGAGGAACTCCACTAGTCACTGGTTGCCATCCTGAAAAAGATCCCTTTATCCCCACTCTCTGCCTTCTGCCAGTTTGCCAATCCTCTATCTGTGCCAGCACCTTGCCGTAACACCTTGCCTGTTATCTTATTCAGCAGCCTCATGTGCAGCACCTTGTCAAAGGCCTTCTGGAAATCCAAATAGATCATGTCCACTGGCTGTCCTTTGTCTTACTTGCTTGTTACCTCCTCAAAGAATTGCAGCAGAGTAAGGGCAGCATGGTGGCTCAGTGGTTAGCACTGCTGCCTCACAGAGCCAAGGACCTCGGTTGGATTCCACCCTCAGGCGACTGTCTGTGTAGAGTTTGCACATTCTCCCCATGTCTGCGTGGGTTTCCTCCGGGTGCTCCGGTTTCCTCTCACAGTCCAAAGATGTGCAGGGTAGGTGGATTGGCCATGCTAAATTGCCCGTAGTGTTCAGGGATGTGTAGATTATGTGGGTTATAGGTAGATGGGTCTGGGTGGGATGCTCTGTGGGTTGGGAAGGACTTGTTGGGCCGAAGGACCGGTTTCCACACTGTAGGGATTCTATTATTTGACAGGCATGACCTCCCCTTGATGAATCCTTGCTGACTCAGCTGTATTTTACCATGCACTTTCAAGTACTCTGCAATTTTATGCTTAATAAAAGGTCTTTAAAATCTTACCCACAACCAAGATCAGGCTAACTGGCCTATAGCTTCCTATCTTCTGCCTCCATCCCTTCTTAAACAGGGGTGCTATATTAACCATTTTCCAGTCCTCTGGGATCCTCCCTGACTTCAGTGATTCCTGAAAGATCACCACCAATATTTCTACCAACTCCCCAGTTATCTCCTTCAGAACTCTGGGGTGTAGTCTGTCTGGTCCAGGTGATTTATCCACTTTCAGACTTTTCAGCTTCCCCAACAACTTCTCCTAAATGATGGCTACTACATCCATCTCTGCATTTTCACTCTCTCGCTTAGCAACTTGCTTATCTTTGAGATGTTTATCATTTACCCAACTTGAAGACTGATGCAAAATATCTCTTTTATTTATCTGCCATTTCCCTGTTTCCCATTATGAATTTCCCAGTTGCATCCTCCATGAGTCACACATTTACTTTAACCTTCCACCACGTTGTGATTGCTACCCCCTAGAGAATTCTTAAATGAAAGATCTCTTATTACTCCTACATCCTTATACATTACTAGATCTAAAATAGCCTGTTCCTGGGTAGGTTGTGCAATGTATTTTTCTAAGAAACAATCCTTGGTACACTGCATAAATTCATCTTCCACATTACCCTTGCTAGTCTGATTTGGCAAGTCAATAAGCAGATTAAGATCACCCATAGCAATTTTAATGTGCTTTTGATATGTCTCTATTATTTCACAATCTACATACTTTATCCTACAGTGAGGAAACACTTTGGAGCCTGTGAACACTCCCACCTGTGAGTTCTTTCCCTTGCTTTTCACTATTTCAATCCAAACCAATTCCATATCATTACCGATTGCACTCATAGCTGCATAAAAACTTTAGTTGTATTAAACTTTAGTTAGGCCACATTTGGAGTGCTGTGTGCAGTTCTGGTTGCCACACTATAGGAAGGATGTGAAGGCTTTGGAGAGGGTGCAAATGAGGTTTACCAGGATGTTGCTGGATTGGAGTATCTTAGCTATAAAACAAAATAGGACAAACTTTGACTGTTTGTGCTAGAGTGTCAGCGGCTGAGGGGCGACCTGATAGAAGTATATAAAATTTTGAGAGGCATGGATAGAGGGGATAGTCAGAGTCTTTTTCTCAGGGTAGAAATGTCAAATACCAGGTGGGGGCGGGGGGCATAGGTTTAAGGTGAGAAGGGGAAAGTTTACAGAAGATGTGTGAGGAAAGTTCTTTACGCAGAGAGTGGTAGGTGCCTAGAACACATTGCCAGGGGAGGTGGTAGAAGCAAATACAATATCAACATTTAAAAGGCATTTAGACATAAAGGGAATAGAGGGACACAAACCATGTGCACGTAGATGGAATTAGTTTGGAATTTTTTTGATAGTTTTTTTTATTTATTCATTAACGGGATGAGGATGTCACTGGCTAGGCAGCATTTATTGTCCATCGCTAATTGCCCAGAGGGCAGTTCAGAGTCAACTACATGGCATCATGGTTGGCACAGACATGGTGGACTGAAGGGCCTGTTCCTGTGCTGTACTGTTCTATATTGTCACCACTTCCACTACACTGATACCTTGTTTTATTAACAAATCTACTCCACTTCCTTTTCCTTTTTGCCTATCCTTTCCATATATTGAGTATCCTTAATTATTGAGTTCCCAGTCTTGGTCATCCTGCAACCACCTTTCTTTAATAGCTAAAAAGTCATTTCCATTTATTTTATTTGACTTATCTATCTTGTTACAAACATTGCGTGCATTCAGAAAAAGTCCCTATATGAACCACAACAGCTGGATCAATCCCTCCCACTCTAAGTTCTTCTCCAGCTCAGAGGACATTTCCTGAACGATTGCACCAGGCAGGCAACAATGCGTTTGGGACTTCTCTGTTTTTAGTTCAGAGGAGATTATCTATTCGCCTAATATGCTATCCCCTACTGCTGCTACTGTATTTCTCTTTTTCCAACCACCTGAATGGCATTCTGTACCACGGTGCTGTGATCAGCTCTGTCATCCTCTCTGTTGTCTGTGCTCTTGTCCACATCAGGAGCAAGAACTTTGTAATGATTGGAAAAACAGTGGATGAGGTTTTTCTAAAGCTAAATTCGGGATCCCAATACCTGCCTCGGTTGCAGCCATACCCTATTGTCTCGGACCGCAGACTAAATTTTATGTAATCAACCCAAGGGGTGTGACTGTCTCCTGAAAACATAGTGTCCAGGTACCCCTCGCCTCCTTGATTTGTCGGTGTCCTCAGGTTAAACTCGAGCCCATCAGCTCGGAGTTGAAGTTCCTCAAGCTGCCAACAGTTTCTATAGATGTGGGTCATCATGCTTCAACTACCTTATTGTGGAGAAAGGGTGAGTTCGTAAGTTGATGTACCATCTACATGAACCACTGCAGTCCAAGTGGTTTAGATACACTGCTGTTGTTAGGTTTTGACCCACTGACAGTGAATGGACAACAACATCATTCTGAGTCAGGATGGTGTATAATTTAGAAGAGATTTTATTCCTTCTAAGTTGTAAAAGTCGCAGGTTGGAAAGATAATGCCGAAGGAAGCTTGGCAAGTTGCTGAAGTGCAACTTGTCGAGCGTATACGCTGCTGCTGATGGAGGGAATGAATTGTTAGGGTTTTGGATGGGTTGTCAGTTAGCAAGCTGTGTTGTTGCAAATGATATTGTGAATTATTAGAGTTACACTCATCTACCACACACATGACTTGTGTCTGGGTGAAGATGGATGGGCTTTGGGGAATCAGTTGCTGAGTTACTTGCTGAAGAATTCCATGCCTCTGACCTGCTTTTATTTCCACAATATTTATACGATTAGTTTAGTTAAGCTTCTAGTCAGTGGTAACCCTCATGATGCCACTGGTGGGACTTGCACCAATGGTAATGCCACTGAATATGATTAAATTCTCTCTTGTTAGAGATGATCATTGCCTGGCACAGTTTTTCTCTACTTATTGGCTCTGAGCATTGTCCGGGTTTTGATGTATGTGCAGGAATTGGCTGCTTCAGCATCTGAGGAGTTTTGAATGTTTTTGAACATTGCTCCCTGCTGATTGCACATTCCGATCTCTGACTTTGTGGAAGGAGGGTCATTGATCATGCAGCTGAGGATGGATGGTTCACGGGCACTATCCTGAAGAACCCAGTGGGTCTGACAGATTACAGATGCTACCAGACCTGCTGCATTTCTCCAGCAGTTTCTGCTTTAATTTCAAGTTTCCAGCATCTGCAGTATTTTACTTTTAGTTTTGCTTTAACCCTGAGAAACTCTTGCAGTAATGTTTCAGGACTAAGATGGTTAACCTTCAACAACCAGAACCAACTTTCTTTCTCAGTGTGTGTCTCTAACTACTGGGGGGTTTTGCCTGGGTTCTCATTTATTTCATTTCACTCAGGTTTCTTGATACGAACATGACTCAAATGGTGCCTGTCAAGGGAATCACTCTCACCTTAACTCTGGAATTCAGCTTTTTTGTTCCTCCCTCACAGAACTGTAATGTGTCAATAATACACTAGATGGATAGCAATGGCTCAAGAAAGTGAGTCACCAATTTCTCGAGGACAATCAGGGATTGGGGAACAAATGTTGGCCTCCCCAGTGATACTGACATTCAATGAATGAATTTTAAAAAACATAGATTTAAAACAGTTATCATTGATTAACCACTCACTTAGTTATTAGCTTATCTCCCCTAAAATGCACAATTTCTCACTCCATAAAAGGTAATGCGGTAAAAGGAATTCTAAGTCTTATTTATTCTAGAATTATTTATCCAAACAGCAAGGGGAAATTCAGGTTTATCTTGGACATTTGGTAAGCTTATAGTCAATAGTATCATTTTTTGTGTAATGTGCCTCTGTACAGCAAAGTAAGGAATGTAAAAAATGAAACTTTTCTTACACATTACTATCACACTATGACTTAATCTACAAAGACAGTAACAAACATCACAATATTACAAAGAGATGAAAAATAACATTTCTCTGACTCCACCTCTGCTGCTTCTCTCTCTGTAATATGTTTGGTTTATCTAAAATGCTGAGTAATTGAAATCCTGGCCCAGTCTCCCATTGCCTTATTTGGGTGCAACACAGCACTTTCCAACTGGAACTTGATGTTCTGTCCTTATTAAATGGTGCAAACACATTCAGTAAACATAGTACTGTATCTGGAGCTGACTCACATATAAGACGAGATACAAATTTTTATGATGAAGTAGATGTAAACATTAATATTTCACGAAAAGTTTATTTGGTACTTGAGAATTGCAGAACATAGATGATTGGAGGACAGCCTCTCTGATTTAAGACTTCCAAACCCCATTGAGGTACAGTACTCAAGTACTGTGCTTGAAATTGGAAAAGTGAACACATTCAATTTAACATCATAGTTACTTCTTTCTTTCTGAGGACCAACTCTTTGTGAGACTGCACATCCATGGCAGCTAGTAGCCCTCCATTATCTCACCCAACTGGCAGTTCTTCATGTGTGAGCCTAAACAATAGATACCACCTGGTTATTCAAATATGGAAGCCTCACAGCCAACTTCATTTTCACCCAACAGTTGAACGAGCACTTTCCTCATTCTCATCATCTTCGTGAGACGTGTTTGGATTTTTCACTTCATTCTTTAATTCCACACAGGTCTTCAACTAACTTAAAGCTGAAGAATCAGGTCAGATTGTGTGAAATGTGGACAGCCTTCTGCATTGATGAAGTATGCGAGAGGAAAACAACTCCAGAAAATTCTTTTGTCATTGGATGGCCCACAACTAACTGCGTGATCACTTTTAGGTGAAAAATCATTTTGAAAATTTCTGTTCAAATTTTCTGGAAGGGAGCAATGAAAATATTTGAATGTGACATGCCAAAAACTTAACTAATCTTTGCTAAATATCTTTCAGTTCTGCAGAAGCAAAGGAAAAATGGCTTTCAGCACTTCAATGGTAAGAAGTTTAATTCTTCTTTATGCCATATGGCAAGTGTGCTGTCTTATGTGGTTCAGAGTGGTGTCTCTGTGGTGTGACTCTGACAAAAACACATTTGAATGGATACTAACATCTTTGATTTCTTTCTTAAAGTGGGGTAGAATTCCACTCGTGTCTGCCGCTCTCTGCTACCTCGCCATGGGGACTTTCTTCATGAGCGAGTCTAGACAGTGAGTATCAACTGGCTATTCAATTGTAAAGGCCATCACAACCTGACCCTGACCTGCTATCATTCTATAACTACATTTCTACATTTTCTAGGAAGGTTCACTTTAAAAGTAATCAAATCTTTAAACTTGCTGTTGGTGTGTTATCCAGGAGTAATCCAAATGTTACGGTGAGCTGGGGAGAGATGCTACTGACAGCAACCAATGTTCCTCTTTCAATTGATACTTATTTTTCCAATGAGCCACAGGGCTAGTAGATTTCCATCAGCTTGTCAATGCACATTTGTTGCCTTACAACATGCTTACTACATTCACAGAAATGACCTGGAAGAGCTGTAGGCTATGTACTACTTACCTGAGATAGAGCACAAGCACCACTGTGCTAATGTTATCTGGTAGCATTCTCCCATTTCACATGGAGCAAACAAAAACCAGTTTGATTTTAAGATTATTGTTGGATATGACTATCAAGACCTGAGCTTAAGATGACTTTAGATTATATATGAAAAACTGAACATGATCGCGAAGGTTAAAAGGATCTGTATAATAGAATCTACATTGTGATTTGCCACTTTTAATAAATAGCATACAGTTGGTAATGAAATAAAACCAGAATGTGCTGGAGAAACTCGGAAGGTCTAGCAACATCTGTGGAGACAGAAACAGAGTTAATGTTTCGAGTTCATTATGATTCTTCTTTAGAACAGCTTTGGTATTGCTTGGAAAGTGTCTTGGTTGATGATAAATATGGTATACTACTGTGTGTTTGCCTGTATTGATAATAATTATTTTGTTATGACATGGCTTTGCTGTACTTCTCAAGATTACAGACAACAGACAACAATTATTCTGAAAAATTTGGGTGGGGATGCATCTTGTAATTTTGGACACATGAAAACTGCTTTAAGATTCACATGATGCAATTCTGGTTGCATACTAAATTTTGTTCTTCGCGGCACTGAGTTTTTTTCTGCCTTGGTCATGAGTAAATCTGAGGACTCCTCTTCATGCCTCCTGAAGTATAGTAGCATTGATGATTGATTTAGAATGAACATATAAGCAGCTTTCAGGCAAGCATGAATTGATTGGTTCCATACCATGCCTACAGTCAGATGAGAAATATGCTTAACATTGTATAGAGATGCTTTAATAGGCAAAAGCTGTATGAAATCACATTACCCTGTCACATTGCTTACATTGTTAAGTGGCAACAGTAATGAGGTTGCTTTACTTTCTAAAAGATTTTCTGGATATATCTGTGGGCAGAAAGCTAGCTGTTACTAAAGATGCCTATAGTATTAGCCTGAAAGGAGCTCGAAAATTGTGGGATATGCTCACATTCAATGTCATTCAGATATTGCATATTGTACTGTGGTCTTACTAAGAGATCGCACCAGTCTTGTTACAGCCTCCCTGCTAAATATTACCTTCTTAGGCATATTGCTACTGACATTGCTGGTTATTTGTACCTACTTTGAAAGACTTGAAGTGGTGGAGAGTACTCTACACCTGCCAACTGACACGAAGAATAACTCTCCTCTGCTCTTAATGCCCCATCTCTTAAAAGTCCTGTGCTGTTAAAGCACTAAAGGGGCAGTCACCATTGTAACTAAACATCTGAGATGAGGGAGAAAAATTGAATCAACTCACCATTGAATAAATAATCCATACATCTTAGAGAAACTTATTAATTAGTTTGGATCAGATGAACATTACCTGGTCAGGCATTTCTGCAAATAGGTCACATTTGTATCCCTTACATTCCCAAACTGCTACATTGAAAAAAAAACACCTTTCAAGATATCTCAAAGCACATCAGAGGCAATTAATTGCTTTCGAAATAGGGGTCCCTGTAATTGTCTGTGTACAGCATCATAATATTTTAGAAATTGAGTCACAGATATCAGATATTATAAATACTTCTGATAACCTCAATGCAATATTATGTGTGACACTTGTGATTTTGTTTATGTGAAGAAAATTTGTGTTCACAATGATAATTGCTGCAATATAACATTATGCAGTAACAAAGGTCCAAATTCAAAAATTTTAAATGTGAGGCGAATTAATGAAAATTCTCTTCACTTTTGTAATCAGTGTCTTTTATACATTTTATCATTCTGTAGGGTTAAAAGATCCCTGGTTTAATTTCTGAACTGCAATTATCTCAACTGAAGCATATTTGACACTAGACTAGAAATATAAGCCAGACTGGCCCTGCTCCTTATTACATTCCAGGGTCTTGAACTGGAAATTTCATGAGAACATCTGATATTCAGAGGATAGCTTTTTGACTGTCATGCCCAAGTCACATGGCCTGCTGGGACTCACTGTCAAGGCTGACACATGAAGAATGGCTTAAATTAAATAGAAAATGATGGAGAAGCTCAGCAGGTCTTATGGCATCTTTGGAGAGAGAACAGAGTTAACCTTTTGAGTCCAATGACTCTTCTGCAGAACTGTTTCCAAAACTAATTCCAAAAAAGAGTTATATTTGACTCGAAGAATCAACTCAGTTTCTCTCTCCACAGATCTTTGAGCTTCTCCACCATTTGCTGTTTTTATTTCAGATCCCCAAAATCTGCAGTATTTTGCTTTTATTTGATAAAGAATGGCTACGTGGAAAGGTACTGGAGAACCTTCAGCGTCAATCAAACTGTAATCCTTTGTAGGAGTCAAGAGGAAGGGAAAGAAGAAAGGTGGACGAAACAATTTCTTAATTTTCAGCAATGCTATTTACCTGTGGAATGCATTGTTTCAGAGTTTCTTCGGTTGTACAAGATCAAAGCAGATTATTCATTGATGTCAAATTGTTGCTCGTAGTTTATGTCCTGAGATATTAATCATAACTGTTTTATCTGTACACAGGCAAATCAAAGAGATGAAGCAAGATGAATATCCCAAGAAGATATCAATGAAGATGCTAGTGATGACAATGCAGAGTGGTGCTTCAGTATGTGTTGTCGCTTCTAACTTAATTTATATTAAACATTGGTAAAGATATATTTTTCAAATTTTATGTAGTTAAGATTGTGGTTTTTGCTGAAATTAGAAAAATGGTTTCTGTTCAGAAAAGGCTTTAAGAGATACTGTAAATGATAATGGTCCAAATCTTCCAATCAGGATCGGAACACCTGTTTCCAATGGTGACCAGCCAAAAAAAAAACCCACTTCCCTTCCTCTAATATTTCTGTTTAAACTTCAATGGAGAAGTCTGCAGAACGCTTTCAGCACACTAAGCCTCAGAGGGAGCAGCAAAGTGAATCTGCACAGGAGCCAGACCCACTGTTTACAGTTCTTTCTGTTGTATTCTGGTAAGAGTTTAAAGGTCCCAAAGTTCAATGTGAGTGACTAACAGCTAGAGTGAATGATTGTGCCAGTGAATGAGTGTGTGAGTAAATGAGTGTGTGTGACTGAGGGCGGAACTGAATGAGTTTTTTTTTTCATTCATGAGATGTGGGCATCACTGGCTGGCCAGCATTTATTGTCTGTCTCTATGTATCCTTGAAACGGTGGTGGTGAGCTGCCCTTTTGAACTCCTGCAGTCCATGTGCTGTAGGTTGATCCACAATACTGCTAGGGGGAGCTCCAGGACTTTAATCCAATGACAGAAAAAGAACGATGATATATTTCCAAGTCAGGATGGTAAAAACCTGCTGGTGTTCCCGTGTATCTCCTGTTCCTGTCCATCTGGATGGAAGTGGTCATGAGTTTGGAAGGTGCTGTCTAAGGATCATTGGTGAATTTCTGCAGCGCATCTTGTAGATAGTACACAGTGTTGCTGCTGAGTGGAGGGAGTGGATGTTTGTGAATGTGGTACAAATCAAGTGGGCTGCTTTGTCCTGGATGGTGTCAAGCTTCTTGAGTATTATTGGAGCTGCACTCATCCAGGCAAGTGGGGATATTCCACGTCACTCCTAACTTTTGCCTTGTAGATAATGGACAGACTTTGGTGAATCGGGAGGTGAGTTACTCACTGCAGTATTCTTAGCCTTTGACATGCTCTTGCAGCCACTGGGTTTATGTGGTGAGTCCAGTTGAGTTTCTGGTCAATGGTTACCCCCAGGATGTTGATAGTGGGGCATTCAGTGATGCAAACACCATTGAATGTCTTGGGGCAATGGTTAGATTGTCTCTTATCGAGAATGGTCATTGGCTGGCATTTGTGTGGTGTAAAAGTTACTTGCCACTTGTCAACCCAAGCCTGGATATTGTCCAGATCTTGTTGCATTTGAACATGGTTCAGTACCTGAGGTGTCGCAAATGGTACTGAACATTGTGCAATCATCGGTGAGTATTCTCACTTCTGACCTGATGATGGAGGTCATTGCTGAAGTAGCTGATGATGTTTGTGCCTAGGGCTCTATCCTGAGGAAATCCTACAGAAATGAGGCAGCACAGTGGCTTAGTGGTGAGCACTACTGCCTCACAGCGCCAGGGACCAGGGTTCGATTCTACCCCTAAGCAACTGTCTGAGTGGAATTTATACATTCTCCCCGAGTCTGCACGTCTTTCCTCTGGGTGCCCTGGTTTCCTCCCACAGTTCAAAGCTGTGCAGGTTAGGTGAATTGACCATGTTAAATTGCCCGTAGTGTCCAGGGATGTGTAGGCTAGGTGGGTTAGCCATGGGAAATATGGAGGTGGATCTGGGTGGGATGCTCTTCAGAGGATTGGTGTGGAGCTGAAGGGGCACATGGCCTGCTTTCATGCGATAGGGTTTATATGATTTCTATGTGCTGGAGCTGAAACGACTGACCTATAAAAAACATAGCCAACTTCCTATGTGCCAGGTATGACTCCAACCAGCAGACAGTTTATCCCCTAATACCAAACAGTTTCAATTTTGCTAGGACTCCTTGAAGCCACACTCCATTGAATCCAGCCTTGAATTCAAGAGCTATTACTCTCACTTCATCTCCAGAATTCAACTCTTTTGTCCATGCTTGAACCAAGGCTGTAATGAGGTCTGGAGCTGAGTGGTCCTGGTGGAACCCAAACTGGGCGTCACTGAGCAGGTTATTGCTGAGCAGGTGCTGCTTGATAGCACTGTCAGTGACACCTTCCATCACTTTACTAATGATCAAAAGCAGATCATTGGGGCTGTAATTGGCTGGGCTGGATTTGTCTTGCTTTTTGAAATCAGGTGGAGTGAACCAAATTGGCTGGAGATTGACATTTGTAATGCTGGGATCACTGGAGGAGGCTGAGATGGATCATTCATTCAGTACTTCTGGCTGAATATTGGTGCAAAAGCTTCAGCCTTATATTTTGCACTAATGTGTGGGGCCTCTCCAAGATTGTGAATGGGAATATTTGTGGAGACTGATTCTCCAATGAGTTGTTTAATTGTCTACCACCATTCATGACTGGATGTGGCAGGACTGCAGAGCTTAGATCTGATCTGTTGGTTCTGTGATTGCTTAGCTCTGTCTATCACTTACCGATAATGCTGTTTGGCGTGCTAGTAGTCCTGTTTGAACCCTCATTTGGTGTTGTTCCTGGCATGCCTTCCGCTACTCTCCATTCAACCAGGGTTGATCCACTGGCTTGATGGTAATGGTTGAGTGGGCGATATGTTGGGCCAAGAGGATACAGATTGTTCTAGAGTACAGTTTTGCTGCTGTTGATGGCCCACAGTGCCTCATGGATGCCCAGCCTTGAGCTGTTAGATCTGTTTGAAGTCTGCCCCATTTAGCACAGTGATAGAGCCACAGAACACAATGGAGAGTATTCTCAATATGAAGAGTGGACTTCTTCTCCACAAAGACTGTGCAGTGGACATTCTTACTGATACTGTCATGGACAGATGCATCTGCAGCTGACATTTTGAAGAGGATGAGGTTGAGTGTATTTTTCCATCTTGTTGGTACTCTCACCACCTGCTACAGATCCAGTCTAGCAGCTATGTCCTTTAGGATCCAACCAGTTTTATCAGTAGTGCTTTGGTGGACATTGAGATGGCCCACCCAGGGTACATTTTGCATCCTTACCACCCTCAGTGCTTATTACAAGTACTGTTCAACAGAGTAGCACTGATTCATCAGCTGAGGGAGGCCAACAGGAGTTTCCTTGCTGGTACAAGTGGAGGTAGGTGCTTGATGATTGGTGTGGACACTGGTATGGATGATCCAAAGGGTTTCTTTCTGTAATGTAAAGCTCAAATGATGCCATGACTCTGAACACATTACACGCTCTTTGAAAAACAAAGATTAGAATATGTTCATATGAAACTGATGTGAACATCTGTTTTTGATTTACTAGGCATTAACACTTATGGTGGGTAACACAGATACGGCGAGAAAGGTCATTAAAATGGCAGCTCAACAGCTCAATGTAAAAGTAAGTTGAATTGTTTTATTTTGTACATGGCTTAGGAACATGAAATACTCTTGTAGTGCATTAGATGATCTCCCTAGCCCTGCTCTCAGATAATATTGAATTTGAAGTATAAAGGGGATACTAATTTAGTTTCAATGTGTAATTTTAGATGGTATGCACTTAACATCAGAAATTTATCAAAGGTCTATTGTAAACTTGTAAATTTCAGGTGATGGAACAGTGAGTGACATCTTTTAGATAACTTTGTATCTGTAACAATGTGTAATATTTAGAGTGTGATATCTCACGAATGATGGACAGTTATTCGATGCAAAATTGTTAATATAAACTGACAGGTTGCCAGTGGCGTTGTCACAGAGAGTTAAAGGTTACATTTTACCTAGAAGCGCAACCAGGATGATAAATGTTACAATTTTCAATTGGTGGGATAGCTAATCTGGTGGCTCTGAATTGTTTGATGATTTTATTGTTCAGATTTGCTTCTCTTTTCTTAGTAGTTGCTGGTGTCTGGTCAATATCATATAAATTTGTCAGCTTTCTGATTGGTGGTCAATTTCAATTGTGGGAATGTGTTATCTGGCATGTTCCTTTAACCATGGAGTCCACTCATATAAGTCAATACAGTTTGATATCACTCAGAGTTTAGTTAGTACTGGTGATGGAACTTTTTAGATTGAAATGTTTCAGGCTGTAGCTTTGAACTGTATAAAGGAAGTTATTATATATTAATTTGAAATGTTTGTGTGCATAGCAAAAGAAATTCAAATTTATCTCATTAAATGCACGGGTACATAGCAAAGTATGAACTTCATTTAAAATATTTTAATCAACTGTTAAATAATTTTCCAGAAAGCTAACTGTCTAGGTGTACACATATATCATCTATAAATTGCAAAATAACAACAATCATTTCAGTTATTCATGACCAAAATGCAAAAAGAAATACAGAATGCTATTAAGTCTCAGGTTGCTAATCATTTGCACCACTGTAAATTCCAATTTCCGAGTAAATAATGAGAATATAGCCCACTCCACCCACCTATGTGGCTGAAGAGGTCATGGCCAACACTAGTTCTTCATTTTCCTCCTAAGTTGTAGCAGTAATCGTCTCTATCAATCAGCACAACAACTGGAAACACTCCTGGGTGAACAATGTGAATGGAAATTCCAGTGAATCTTTCCTCCTACCTCTACTAAGTTTAGAGATCATTTTGCCCTCACAACTCACACTTCCTTCACGTGGGCAGGAATCAGCAGTACTGTAGACCACCACCCATGCACAAATGGAAATCAACCCCTCTTTTGTCAACTTCCATCTGCTGAACAGAAATAAGTACACTCCCCATCCAACATCCACTTCTGTGAACCCCAATTACACATGAACAATTGTTTCACCTTCCAGTTCCCTTACAACCTGCATGACTGAACAGAAATCCTGAGGTATAGTTTGCTTGCCCATGTTCCTGTGAATTGATTCATAATATTTTCTTTATAAAACAAACAGGACAGAGCTTGTAATTACCAGCTTTGGGTGATTTCAGGAAAGGAGGCTACACCCTACCCACTGATTGGTAAGTGCTAGTTTTAACACTGTCTTCATCTTGAGGTGTGTCAGTGATTAAATTTAGCAAGCCTTAAAATAGGACAAGCTTCACTACTGTTTGGAGGTTGAAACATTTCTGTTACCGGTGAACTCTATTGATGGCTAAGTAGTGGGGGAAAAAATACATGTGCTGCAGAAATAAGCCAAACTCACCAGATTCAATCCAAAGTATTGATAATGCTGGAAATCTGAATGAGAAACAGCAAATGTTGCCAACAGTGATCAAGTCTGGCAGCATCTGCGGGGAGAGAAACAGAGATAGCAGGCAGAAGTTTGTTGTCCAATTAAAGACAGCAGATCATCAAGAAATTGTTGAGCCCAGTAGGACAGCTCACAGAAATGTTTGGATAGCACCCCACTGGGACTAGTCAGTGCTGCTAGAGGATATTGAGACCTAGAAGACCTCCTGAAAATGGAGATGTTCATCAAGGTCTTTCGTTCAGTAGTGTGAAAGATGACAAAGTATGATGAGCAGCCATAGTGTAGACGTTGATCTCTCCATTTCTGGACCTCAGTGAGCAGCCTCCTGATGCAGTCAATTAACTTAGCCACCCATGATCCATTGCCCTCCCAGTGAAAAGCTGCCTCCTGCATGTTGCTGGACTCTGGACACATTGGCCTCTCCAATACTGGAAAAGTTGCAACACTCGCTCAAAATGGCCCTTGGTTTAGGCTGCTAATGGCATGATTGACAGCCTGCCTCTGCAAATTGGATTCTCGACTCCCATAGCCACCGCAGATGGGAAAGTCACCCTGAGGCAGGATAGTGTTTGTCAGCCATCTTGATGACATTTCTTACTAGCTTCCTGATGTCCCCATCTCCAAACCTGTCTCTACAGAGCTGGGAAAACGTAGCCCTGTTTTCCTCTCCATAGATGCTGCCAAACTGCTGAATATTTTCACCATTTCCTGTGTTTATTCTAGACTAAACCATGGTCTGTGTTCAGTTGGGTAAATAAAGACATGGCAACAGCCTGAGAAATGAGAATTTGCCAGTATTCCCTGAGGTATAATGGATTAAATAAAACAGCAAGGATTCCAGCTCCTGATCACTATCAAACATCCTCAGTAGAAAGTTAGCAGGTGCGAAGCTGAATTAGGGCATGATCACATTTACTTCTGATTCTCCTTTTTTAAACATCAGATAATTGATGGGGCGGCTTGGTGGTTAACACTGCTGCCTCACAGCTCCAGGGACCCAGGTTCGATTCCACTCTCAGGGGACTGTCTGTGTGGAGTTTGCACATTCTCCCTGTGTCTGCGTGGGTTTCCTCTGGGTGCTCCGGTTTCCTTCCACAGTCCAAAGATGTGCAGGCTAGGTGGATTGGCCATGCTAAAAAATTGCCTGTAGTGTTTAGGGATGTGTAGATTAGGTGGGTTATAGGGGGCTGGGTCTGGGTGGAATGCTCTGAGGGTCAGTGTGGACTTGTTGGGCCGAAGAGCCTGTTTTCACACTGTAGGGATTCTATGATTCTATGATCTATGATTTATTTAATTAGATTAAGAGGCAGCAGTTCATTGGCTCACACCTATCACTCAGTTAGTAGTGCACTCACCTCTGAACTATGAAGATTGTCAGTACAAGTCTCGACTCCTGAGCACAAAGATCAAGGCTGACTCTTCAGCAATGTACTGAGGGAACATTGCACTGTAGGAAGTGAGACATTAAACCATGGCCCCATCTGCTTACTTGGGTGGTGGTGTAAATGACCCCATGGCAGGGTCTTGGAGAAGATCAAGGGGTTATTCCCATTGTCTTGTTGATATTTATCCCTCAAACAATGTGACAAATACATATTATCTGCTCTTTATCAAATTGCTGTTCATGACGGGTTGCTAACCATCAACTAGCTGCTGCACTTCCTACAATCCAGCAGCATTAACACTTCAGGAAAATTGTTTTGTTGGCAGTTAGTATGGTTGTGAACAGTATTTTATGTATAACATCAAGTCTTTTTTTCCTCATGCAACTCCAATATCTTAAGGAGAACAGAGACAATTCTGGCACAGATCTTAATATGCTGGAAGCAGTCCTACTCTTAAAGATCTGTCTATTCACAGTCCTGGTTCTCTCTGTTCTGCCACACCATTTAGAATTTTACTACTTTGGATATATTCCCATCACCTGTTCCTTTCTTTTCCAAAAGTAAAGTAAAATGTCTTATAATTAATATATGGTGAGTGTTTTTGCTCAGTGAAGTGAATGGAATATTTCTGAATGTTTTATATACATATTGTAGGTTGAGCGCAGTATTATGTCAAATTGAGGTAAGGCTCCCTCACTCTGTGATTGTCTTTGCCTAGTTTGGATCAGCCAGGATGGTTCTTGGGCAGGTGTTTGTAAACTCCTGAAACAAAAACTTCACCAAAACACTTTTTTTCCCTTTGAATAGAGGTATTAAATGTGCAGTGGAAACAGTGGTACATTGGGCTAGTCATTCAGAGACCTATACAAATGCTCTGGGGACACAGGTTTGAGTCACAGTATGACAGCTAATGGAATTTAAGTTCATTTAATAAATCTGGAATAGAAAGCTGATTCTATATATGGTGTCATGAATCAATTGTCATGAAGATCCATCTGGTGCATACATAGTCTTTTAAGGAAAGAAATCCACCAGCCTTACCTGATCTGGCCTATATGTGACTCCAAACCCATTGCAAAGTGGCTGACTCTTAACTGCCTTCTAACATAGCACTAGCAAACCATTCAGTTCATGGGCAATTAGAAATGGGCAGCAAATAATGGCCTTGCCATTCACATCCATAACTCATTATTTTTTAAAAAAGTCCTGATTGATATGTAGGAAAAGTGAAAGGCAAATTACACACATCCAGATCCCAGCAGCAACAGCGAGACAAATGATTAACTACTTGCTTATGGTTTATTAGAAGGGAATGTTTTCTACTATATCAGCAGAACTCCTTTGCTCTTCTTTAAATTGTGCCATGGAATCTTTTTACAAGTATTTTCTTTGGACAGCTGTGAATTGAGGGTTCTAATACTGTATTAATGCTGTTTAAAAATCTGAGGCAAATAGTGCATGTGATTAGGAAGCACAGATATAGGTCCAGACAGGCTTGGCTGGTGTTAGTGTTCCACTTAAGCTCCTCCCTTCTTTCTCATCTAAGTCCATCATTGTAACCCCTACTTCCTTCTCCCTGATATGTTTGTCAAGCTTTGCCCTAAATGTATCTACACTGTTTGCTTTAACCACTCCCTGTGGCAGCAGGTTGCATGTTCTCATCACTTCAGAAGTTTCTTCTGAATTCCTAGTTGTATTTGCTGGTGACTATCCCTATCTTAAATTGATGGCCCAATGCCATGATAAACTATTTACTTCTCAAAGCTAAACAAAGGGTTTTCCATTTTATGTTACAGGACATGAGCAACCATTTAGTGTAATGATGAACTGCCTCAGAGACTTTACCGCACACATGGAAAAATCTGACATTAATACCCAATTACAGGGTAGCAACAGAGCCATCCTCTTTGATGATCTCCCAAAAGCCAAACAATGTCAGTTTATTCTGAAGCCAAGGCCTCAACCAGACATCCATGTAACCAGAGGTGAGTGACACGTGAAATAATCAAAGATATTGTTTGAGGAAAAAGGGTAAGTTACATGTAAATCAAGAGTATTACTTTAAAAAGGTCCAAACGAGTAAAAAATTACTTTGAACTGCTATCAGAAGGTTGTTCTTCATGCAAAATAGCTAAAACATGGAATAGAAGTCCAAGCAGAACAGTGGCTGGAAAAAGCCTAAAGTCATTTAAGAAAAATTTACTTCAATTATTGATGTGTATGTATGTTCTGAATGGCTTTTGGTTCCTGAATGAGGCACAGCAGAATAGGTTTAAGATTAGCATTGAGTGGCTACGCTGTTACTAAGTACTTAATGTAATTATATATACTATATGCACCGCTATGCTATTTTGTGACATGAAACCCGGTGTGCAGAGCTCAGTGTTTAAAAAATTTGACAGAATATTTTGATATCAGTTTTCAACAGGAGGCAGGTACTTCTTTGGCTTTTCTGAGATATTTGAGTTGATTTCATCAGGTAGAAACCAGCTGAATAGACAGTTAAAATTGTTGAGGAGATTTAGCTGCAGATATCCTGCTGCATTCATGTTGCTTCTTTTAATATCCTGAGAATGTGGCAAAATATTTGCCAAAAAGTAGAAGGACCTTTCTCTTTCAATATGTAGATCAAGCCCTGATCATGTCCCAAAGCCCTAATTACAATGACTTATGTAGGCAAATCATAATGGGTTTTCCAACAGGTGGAGATAGTAGGAAGAGGAACCAAGACAAAATGAGCCTTAGATATGCAATTTTCTTTACCTATTTGAAAAATTGTCCTGTGAAGCCCCGCAGTGAAGGTTAGGTCTTTTCTGCTGTTGGTATCCTTCCATTACCCAACCCTTCCCAAATCCAAAATCATCCTAAACCCCACTCCATGTGGCTTACCGAAGTATCAGTAAGTGTTCTCCTGGTCGTGGCCAACTTACACCTGAAATTATGATCCTGTATGCCAGCTGGCTTCCCAAACATTTCAATATTCCAAAAGTGTTCTAACCAGATCCTTATCCAGCCTCGGCAGTACATCTCTGCTCTTATATTTTAACCCTCTCAAAATGAATGCTAACATTGCATTTGCCTTCCTAACTGCCAACTGAAGCTGCATGTCAGCCTTAAAAGAATTCTGAACTAGGATGTCTAAGTCCCTTTGTGGTTCAGATTTCCCTTTGAGAAAATAGTCTGCATTTCTATTCTTCCTACACAAGTGCATGATCTCAATTTTCCCACGTATTCCATCTGCCACTTCTTTGCTCACTCTCCTAACCTGTCCAAATCCTCCTGCAGGCTCTCTGTCACCTCAACACTGTCCCTCCACTTTAACTTTGTGTCATCTGCAAACTTAGCAACAATGCTCCCAGTTCCACTGTCCACATCGTTAATGTATATCATAAATAGTTTTCTTCCCTACACTTACCTCTGCAGACGTCCACTAGTTACTGGCTGCCATTCTGAAAAGTACCCCTTTTATCCCCACTTACTACCTTCTGCCGGTTTGCCAATCCTCTATCCATGCCAGTACCTTGCCCCTAACACCATCTGCTCTTATCTTATCTAGCAGCCTCCTATGCAGCACCTTGTCAAAGGCCTTCTGTAAACCCAAATAGATCACATCCACTGGCTCTCCTTTGTCTAAATTTTGCTCGTATCTCCTCAAAGAATTCTAACAGATTTGTTAGACATGACCGCCCTTGATGAAGCCGTGCTGACTCAGTTTTATTTATTATGCACTTCCAAGTATTCTGCAATCTCATCCTTAAACATGAACTCTAAAATCTTAACAATAACCGAGTTCATGCTAACAGCTGTATAATTTCCTACTTTCTGCCTCCCTCCCTTCTTAAACAGGTGTCTTACACTCGCCATTTTCCAGTCCTCTGGACCCTTCCTGACTTCAGTGATTCTTGAACGATCATCACCAATGCCTCCAGAATCTCTTCAGCTATGTCTTTCAGAAATTTAGGGTGTTGTCCATCTGGTGATTTAGCCACCTTCAGACCTTTCAACTTCCCCAGCACTTTCTCCTTAGTGATTGTCACTACACTCAGCTTTGCCCCCTAACTCCCTTGACATTCTGGTAGGCCACTGATGTCTTCCACTGTGAAAATTGATACAAAGTACCTATTCAGTTGCTCTGTCATTTCTTTGTTCCCCATTTCTAATTCTCCAGCTTCATTTTCCAGTGTTCCAATGTCCACTCTTGCCTCTCTCTTACATTTCATACATCTTAAAAAAAAAACTCTTGCAATCTTATATTATTGGCTATCTTGCCTTCATATTTTATCTTTTCCCACTTATTGCTTTTTTAGTTAACCTCTATTGGTTTTTAAAGGCTTCCCAATCCTCTGGCTTCCCACTGATCTTCATCATGTAGAATGATTTTTCTTTTGCTTTTATGGTGTCCCTGACTTCCCTTGTCAGCCATGTTTGTCTCATTCTCTCCTTAGCATGTTTCTTCTTCCTTGTGATGAATTTCTGCCATGCCTCCTGAATTACCCCCAGAAACTTCTACCATTGCTGCCCCACCATCTTCCTTGCTAGGCCCCTTCCAGTCAACTGTGGCCAGCTCCTCCCTCATGTCTTTGTTGTTACTTTTACACAATTATAATACAGTTATATCTGATTCAATCTTCTCCCTTTCAAACTGCAAGGTGAATTCAATCTTATTATGGCCACAGTCCCTTAGGAATTAGTTCACCTTAAACTCCCTAATCAAGTCTGCCTCATTACACATCACCAAGTACAGAATTACCTGTTCCCTAGAGGGCTCTACCACAAGCTGCTTCAAAAAAAATAACATCTGGTAGACATTCCACAAGTTCCTTTTCTTAGGATCCACTACGAACCTGATTTTCCCCCAGTCCACCTGGGTATTGAAGTCCCCCATGATTGTTCCAATAGCGCCTTTCTTACATTTTTTTTCAATCTCGTCATTTATTTTCTGCCCCATACCTTGACTACTGCTAGGAGGCCTGTACATAACTCCCATCAGGGTCTTTTCCCCTTTGCAGTTCCTCAACTTTACCCACATATTCCAATCCTATATCGCTTTATGCTATCGACTTAATTTCATTTCTTACTAACAAGGTAACCCTGCCCCATCTACCCACCTGCCTTATCTTTTAATTGGTCTTGTATCCTTGAATATTTAGTTCCTAGACCTGATCCCTTTGCAGCCATGTCACTATAATGCCCACAACATTGTACCTGCCGATTTCAACCTGCACTACAAACTCATTTAACTTGGTTTGTATACTGCTTGCATTTAAGTACATGCCTTAGTCCTGCATCGACTGTCCCCTTCTCATAGTTGTCCACTTATCTGCTGACCCTGAAGTTAGATTCCTGACACTTTCCATACTCTCTGTCCTATTACCTTTACTGGAAAATTTAATAACCTTTCCTGAGCCCTCCCCTCCTTTAACTTTTCCCATAATTTCCATGAGATTGAACCCGCTCCCCCTCCACTATTTAGTTTAAAGCCCTACCTACAGACCTAGTTACATGATTTGCAAGGATTCTGGGGTAAAGCCCGTGCCATTGGAACAGCTCCCACCTTCCCCAGTACTGGTGCCATGAATTTGAACCCAATTCTCCCACACCAATCTTTGAGCCATGTGTTTACCTCTTTAAACTTGTTTCCCCTGTGCCTGGTAGTAATCAGGTAGTAATCCAGAGATTATTGATTTGGCTATGCTTTTTGATTCAGCCCGTAGCTGCTCATATTCCCTCAGCAGAACTTCTTTCCTCTTTTTGCCTATATTATTGTGGATAACGACAACTGGATCTTTCCTCTCCAAACCCAAGTTCCTCTGTAGCCCGGATGTCATAGTCCACTAGGCAGGCAACACAGCCTTTGCGGTTCTCAATCCTGGCCACAGAGAACAGTGTCTATTCCCCTGACTATACTATCCCCGATACAACTCCATTTCTCTTTTCTCCCCCAACCCTTTGAATGGCCACCTCTTGAATGGTTCTCTGTAGCACAGTGCTACGGTCAGTTTGATCATCCTCATTACAGCCTCTGTTTTCATCTGCACAGGAAACAAGAATGTCATATCTGTTAGACAAACTCAAGAGCTGAGGCTCCCTCAGCATTACCTTCTGGATCCTTCTACCAGCCTCACTTGTAGTCACACCCTCCTGCCCCATACCACTGATGAAATTTGGGTTGGTTAATCTAAGGGGTGTGACTGACTCCAGAAGCACAGCATCCGAGTAACTTTTTTTTATTTTAAAAATATACTTTCATAAAAATATCTTTATGTACATACACAGTCACTAACGCAGTTCGGTTCTACACAGTAGCATTTGAATAAACAAGCACATTGGAGTTTGACCCTATCCAACAAACAAACCAAAGGCATTTTACATGTACAAGACTATATTTACATACATCTGAGACACCAGGAGGGTCTGATAACTGAACAGACCCCCCATTCCAGGTAACTCTCCTGCTCCCTGATGTGTTGCAGTGTTCGAAGCTCAGACTCCAGCTCATCAACTCTGAGCCAGAGTTCCTCAAGCAACCAACACTTGCTACAGATGTGGTCACTACACCACAATTGGGTCCACCAACTTCTACATCCTGCAGGTACAGCACATCAGATGGTCCTACATCTGTATTTTAGTTACTTAGATCTTTATTTGATTTTTAAAAATTTCATCCTTGTCTTTTAGTTTATAGCCTGTAAATATTTCTCCTATTTACCTTGAATCTGAAAGTAACCTACAACAGCAAGTCAAATTAGCAGCTGTTACCAATCAATGAATTGACAGTTTTCCAGTGATGTCACTCTTTTTTGTGCGGGGCCTCTGATGCTGGGCTTCAATTTATCCTATTAAGAAGACTTTTAAAAACTATGAACCAGAAAAGCAAGCAGAAAGTGCCATTTTCCCTCTGCAAAAAAATTCCCTTGCTGCCTCCAAAGTCCCTGAAATGTACACTCACTCAGGCTGCGTGTCACTCCCGATGCAATCTCTTCTT